TTCACGAGCGTCGGAGATTTTGCCCCAACGTCGTACACGGAATGCAGTTAGCTGTTGTAACGATTCCTTGATAAATTCTTGCAACTTCTGTCATGAGCAGCTGGGGGCAGCCGATGGACGTTGGTGTATACATCATTGGGTAAGCTGGGATCGAGACTGCCCTAACGGCCGGTGCGACACCACCGTGGCTGAATAACATTACATCGCCTTTGCGATGATCTAGAGTGCAGACCGAGTCGTTGTGCTTTCGAGATGTTTCGTAGGGCGAGAGAAAATACTTGACCGCGTCAGCAGTATACACTAGGTGCAATCGATCAACTTCACAACTGGACTAAAAGATGTCAGCAATCTATGAACACTCGGGCTCAGACTGGCTGCCACAACATGCGACGTTGTAGCCGTGAAACCGAGTGTAGCCTCACACAATTTGGCAAGCCTACGCTGAAGGATGTTGCGTCGTAATAAATTAAATGGTATTCATAAGTGGCGTCTGTGTACGGAAAGCGAACGAATGACACGGTGACCATGCCGGGTATATGCTGAAAAGTGAAAACCAGTCCCAGAAGATGAGAAATCGCAAGCGATAGTCAAGCCGGTGTCCAAGAAACGAGCGTAGCCAATCAGTTGTGATGGCCGATCCATCATGTTATCGTCCATATCGTCAATTACAAGGGCGTCACATCCTTGTTTTCTTTCTCGTCAGGCGTGACGGCTTTTGCAAAAGCCTCTGGCGGCGTCACGACGAGCGTGTCCGGGCTGGTCGCGCTGTCTAGGTCGAGGCCGCCATCCTTGAGATCCGAGGAGCGCCGCGAGGTCCCCGGGATCCCTTGCGTCGGTCCTGGCGGTTGCAGGAGTTGGCTTAAGGGAATGGTACCGGCGATCTTAGACTCAGGGGCCGTGGTCCGCGAGCCAATTTCCTCGTCCGCTCTTGCTGCTGCCGGCGCAGTGACCTCTTGAACGACGGCGACACCATCCAGGGGAACCGTCTCCGGTTCCTTGGCGGGCTTCAAGCGTGCGTCTTGCGCAAGGATGCGCTTCGCCAGCCCCGTCACGCACGCCACTGACGATAATCTCAGGCCTTTCCCAAGCCAGTAGACCCGGCTCACCGGGCGCGCGGTTGGTGTGCACTACGGCATATCCTGAGTTCGCCCAGCCAGGGCACGAATACACACTCGCAGCAGGACGGGGCAAATTCGCCATCTCAACATCCCCTTCACTGGCTCCGGCCTCCTCCTCGTCGCCGAGGAATACGGTGATGGCGACCCTCGGCCGCGTATGCTCGGATCGAGCCTCGGCATACCGCCCTACGCAGTGCGCCCAAAACCGCAGCGCCGCCTCGGGCCCTGGTAGCCACGCGAGCATGGCCAGCGTGACAATGTCGGCGGGGGTAAAGTCAGTGCGGGGCCCCAGCGTACGGAGGCTCTTGAGGGCGAACACAAGGAGGCCGACGGGGGAGTCGCAGAGCGCATAGGCGAGCGTGTTCGGTTCGAGGACCCCGACCTTGTGGAGGCCGAACTGGGAGGGCGTGGTCGTCGCACCCTTCTTCACGTTTGTCGTCGCTCCAGCGTCCGGACCTCTCAACGAGGGTGATCTGGCGGCGCGGCGGCTGAGGGCGGCGAAGTCGGCCTTTTCGTAGCCGAGAATGGGGGCATGGAAGAAGCTGGCGAGCTTCCACTTAGCCCATTCCCACGGTGCAGACTGGGGTTTCGGCGCGGCGAGGGGCGGTTGGATGAGGTGGGTGCCAAGGCAGGACGAGGGGTACTGATTCGCAAGTTGATTGGCGAGCTGCCAGTCAATTTCGGCCGGGCTCGAGGAGGCAGACCCTGTATTCGAAACGAGGTAGTGCGGGTACGCCAGGCGCGTCATGAGGGTGTTGAGGATGTCGGTCGTCGCGGAGATGGCTGAGGCGGAACTTGGGAGCGCATCGCTGAAGCCGAGACCGGGAAGGGCAGAGATGACAAGGTGGAAGGGCTGACCGTTATCGACATCCTCGGGTTCGGTGAAGAGCTTGACGAGGTGGCCCAGCGAAAGGTTCGTGAAGGGGAACGGCGGCAGCAGCAGCAGAGGCACGGCGGCTGGCCTTGATGAGCGGACGTGGATGAAGTGAATCCTCACAGGCGCCTCTGCGTCAGGCACGCTGATATTGATACGGAACTGAGGTAGCTTTTCGTTCAACTCTTCCTCTTTCTGCCTCCACGAATACTGTTCCATCCTGCAAAGGGCAGACGAGAGATCCGGTCAGTCGAGAACAGGGCAGTGGTGACAGTCAGGCTGTTGGCTGGCGACTAGGCACTCACCAAAAGTCGATCAAGGGCTCGACCTGGGGCTTGGGTTCCCACCAGTCCGCCGACGTGGGCTTCGGGACTTCATGGGGAAGCCTCGTGAGCTCAAGCTTGCGCTTGGTGAGATCGAGATACTTGCTCGACACCTAGAAAGCGTATTGTGGTCAGTCCACAGCACAGACAGAGCATCACATGGCAAGCCGCACGACGTACATGAATGCGATATGGCTTGATCTCGTCATCGCCGGGCCCTCCAGAGGACTCCACCGTATCGGTCATGTCGTCGTAAATGTTCAATGTCTTTGTCGCGTCAATGTCGTGAGTTCATGTAGTCTTCTTGGGTGGCAGCCGTGAGAGGATCTGGAGGTTTCGCAACAAAACAAACACACGACGACCCATGCCTCGTGTACATGTAAAAGGACCGAGGCCAAGGGTCCAGGGTAATTAACAGACGAGAAGGTATCCTGGTTTGGCAGCAGCAGTAGAAACAGCAGCCCTCGGGCCGCCAATGGATGGATGCATGGTCTCGTCTGCTTTGATGAAAGGATCAAAGGTCCAATGTCCCCTGCCCTGGTCCTGCCCTGTAGGTACCATCGCCAAGGATCCGCACGCGCCAAGTGGGCGCGCCAGGGCCGGAGGTGTGGCTTGAACGCGCGTCAGCCCGGGCGATGTGGCTCAACGCCGTTTCATGTTGTGGCACCGTCGCGGGTCTAGAACCGAAATGGACTCATCATCGCCAATGAGAGGTCGCAAAGCTCTCCATCGAGACCTCCACCAGAGCTCACGTCCCTTGATCTGGACCCTGGGACGGCGGCCCGCTATGTGGCGGTGCACACGATATCCTAGCGTCCTGGGAAATGATCTTCTCAACGCCACCAGGCGTACCCAGTACATCGAACATGATGTGTCCCAAATGACGAATCAATGCCCTGGCTCCCGCTGTATTGAACGTCGTGTTGTGCCAACTGTCCGGTTGCCTTTCATGCGCCTTATTGGCCGTTGTTGGACTGACATCGCTCACCGTCGCCCACATTGACGCAGTCATGCATCTTGTCGCCACTGGTCCTGTCAGCCCCACGCTGGTCGAGTGGCTCGTTGGGTGTGGCGTCAAGGTCATGGACAGTATCATTCCAAGGCGTCAATCCTGAATGGACAGATCTTGTTTCCTGGCAGCATCGGAGGCCGCTCAAAGTAGAGTGAACCTGGCATGGATCATCTCACTCCATTTGAGAGCTGCCGCGGGGCAAAATACCAGCCCGGCCAAGCCAACGGGACTGTGGCCCGACCCACGTGACATTCGGAAACATCACCGTCGCCATTGACTTCTTCAGAGCTCGCCTTTCAGTGCAGTGTGACATGCTGGAGGTGCCAGCAAGACGACCCAAATCTCTCGTTTTTGAGTTGAAGGCCACCCCTACACTGCTCGCCCGCGGCATGATTAGCGACGACGAAGCTCAGAAACTAAAACAGCGGCCAGGGCGGCCCGCCCATCGCTTCATGGTGGCGACCGCGTTTCCATCTTACAGCTTGGACAGCGCCAAGCTTGAGCATGGCGTCAGTTGCAAAGGCTGTCAAATCCGCTTTGACAGGCTACGTGTCGACCCAACCGACCAAAACAGGTGCTTCTCGCAAAAAGGGTTCCTCACTCACTTCCCAGAGTGCCCCGAAGCAGTGCAGCTCTGGGCCGAGAGCCGAGAGGGCACATGTCCGGTCGACGAGCCAGAGTTCACTCGCCGGGGCGGGTTCTTCAGCCTTTTCGGACTCGATGGAGTACCTGCGTGAACAATGAGTTGTCTGTTCTACTCACACGGCACCACACCAACTTGTGATGCCGCGTTGGGAGTACCCATGTCTTTCCACTATGATGTGGGAGATGATACAATACATCGCCGTTGTGTAGCTTGCATTGTACATGCCTCCTAATAACAAAACTCGAATCCGGTGGTGCCTTCATCTGCAACATCGTCCGTCGAGCACCAAGTACCTCATCGCTACAATTCTCATCTGCCAACTAAGTTAAACTCCAGAGCTTATGCACTGCTATCACACAGGGAACCAAGGAGCCTTTGCCGCATTTGAGCCGCAGACTTCGTTGCGTCTGGGTCGATTTACGGAATACCTCTGAAGTTTTTGGTGTCGATGGTGTCTTGATTATTAAATCGCCTATTCTCCTGACAGCCTGATGCATCATCACTGCGGGGAGCAATTTCAAATTGATGAGGTCAGAGTAACTCATGAGCAAGGAGTCCGCCAAGTCCCCTCGTCCTTTGCCAAGAGAGTTGACACGTATGCGCTCCAAAAGCGCAAACGTCGACTGCTTTTATGCTTCTGTTACGCTGGTACGCAGAAATAGAGGCATTGCGTGAAACTGGCGCAGGAGGAGCCGGGTTGTGCATGTTCAGGCCCTTCTTGCTTTGTTGACACATCAAGTCACGCAGAGGGGAACCGAGCTATTCGTAATGCGATGCAAGGCAAAATCACGACTCCTATTGTCTTCTCATCTGCCCAACTGGCTTCTTGGTATACTATTCCGCTCCCTGCCATCATTTCTGCCTTGTGTTTTTGAAGTTCCCTTCGACGCGCCTGCCTTCAAGGAATCCGAGGGGACGCACTCGTCTGACCAGTGCCGCCACCAGTACCAACACCTGCGGCCCCCGCCGCTCCGCCGCGGATATTCATGGCCCCAATCCGGGACACAATGTTGCTCCCCACGGCGTCGACTGCACCCCGCGGTGAGGTCAGCGTAGGGCCCTCAGCCGCCGTCTCCTGTACTCGGAAGAGCTTGATGGCTGTGCCGTTCCAGACGCCCGCCGTTCCTCGAGCCACTTGAATCTCGCTGCTGAAGACAAAACTCCACACAAGCGACTCGTACCAGCCGAGCGCGAGCTGAGACCACTCAAACGAGTGCACCCGGACAGGCGCAGGGTCGACGCCCACGAGCTGGATCTCCTGGATCCTCTGCAGCGTCTCGGTCGACGCCGACTCGTTGGCGATCGTCTGGCGCGGCAGCAGGGCAGACACCTGCTGGATTACTGTGAGGATCGTGTGCAGCGGCAACTCGGGCAGCCAGCTCTCGATCCAGTGCGGCGTCGGCTCAAAGGCCCCGCTTGTCGATCCGCCGCTCGCTGAGTAGCCGCCGAGACTCGTTGTGCTGTTTTGTCTCGAAAAGTTGCCCACGCCGGCGGGCATCTTGCCTCGAGCCTTCTCCGACATGCCGCGCACCTGTGTCGGCACGGCGTCTTCGACATTCGAAGCCTGCGATGACGCCATAGACACGCTATCGCTCGTTGTTGATCGGGCTGGCGTGGGCTGGTGATCGTCGTCGCTATCGTCTTCATCATCCCCAATGGCGAACGTATCGTCCTCTTCTGCCACGTTGCTGAGAGACGGGTGCTGCGCTTGTGAGGCTGTGGGGCTCTGGATGCTGTCTACCGAGCTCCTGACTGAGCTCGGCTCTAGTCCATCGCCACTTGCCGCAGCCTCCTTTCGCCTGCGATTCCTCCTCTCGATCTCTTCTTGGCCGGATTCTAGCGTGAAGCTTCGCAAAGCCTCTATCTTCTTCTTGTTACGAACAATCGCGAAGATAAGTTCAGGGTTCTCTGCCACGGCATTAGTCACGTCTCTCTGAAATGTAGAAAGACAAGCGCATAGCGGCGTTAGGCTCATCGGAAAAATTCTCACTCTTGTACTGATGCTCAATGATAGAGTTGATGGATTCCAGGAGAGACCTGAGAAGAGCATGGTTTGTGTCATTGGCCAGCAGGAACGATGGAGAAGACATGGAGGAAAAGAGCTGCAGCAGTTTGGATGCGGTGATGTGACTGATACCCTCCAGGTGAGCTGCGATGTTGTTGATGACGGCAAGCAGGGCCGGGTAAATCGCCGTTAGTTTGCCCTGGCTCGTCGTGATGAGGTTATAGATGGACTGCAATGGGGTCAGCGTTGATGGCTATGGCACGGTGCCGAAAGGCCCCCTTACTTGGATGAGGAAGTCGGCATACGTGCCCCTGAACCCAGGGAGCCGTATTGCCGGTGGCAGGCTATCCTGTCCGGTGAAGTCCTTGTTCAGGTTCACACCAAAGTTTCTCTCAACACTGATGGTCTGAAGCAAAAAGGCGCACATGCGCACGACACCTTGCTTCGAAGCATCAGACTTGTACTCGAGAGCATAAAAGAGTGTCAGGATGACAAAGTCATGAGCCCTCTCCGTGTCGACGATGAAGGAACGGAACCTCTTGTTGCATTGTGTGATTTCCCAAAACAGCATCATCATCTCAGGCGCAAATTTGGCGGGCGACTGTGTTGACGGGATGTAAGAGCTTCTCTCCTGCAAAGGCTGGTTGAGAATTCGGGTCATGCCATCAACAATAAACTGGAAGTCTTGTGGGCGATGCAACCTGCCCAGGAAGTGGCGAAAATAGTTTTTCTGGCTCTCGATGCCACTCCCTTCTGGAATCGGGTAGAGAACTAAAACAAGCAGAAGTTGCAGTGTATAGGTCACCAGGATGGACTTCTCGTCCCTGAACACCAACGTATTGTAAGGCACCCTCCACGTGGCTGGGTTCCACTTCAGCGTCTGTCAAAGTCAGCATCATGTCACAGAGCTGGACTATACGGGCACGCCTTACAGTATTGAGAAGCGAACACAGCACCGACAGGACGACCTGCTTGTCCGGGCAGGAGCACAGATGTGTCAATGCCCGCACGCCGTGCTTAGGCAGCGCGCTGGGTGTCATGTACATGCTCTGGCCAGCCAGAGTGAGAATCAGGCGCAGAATCTCGCACCGGTTGCTCTCATGCTCCTTTGTCGTCGGCACTGCCGTGTTGCACCCGACGCCGCTCTGCCAAATGGCATACGAGACTTTGGGCTTTCCATGCGGCTGCCTGGGGACCGTCAGATCGGAGAAGAAGAGGAGGTCGACCAGGGTATCCAGAAGCTCCTCGGCGAGGGGTTTCGCATCCTCAAAATCCTCCTCGGGCTCTTTCTTGATTGACGGTTGATCCTCCTGCGCCTCATCGAACAATACCTCGGCGGCAAGAGATGACTTGCGCGTCCGCTTGCGACGTGCGCCCCAGAAGAAGGTTTCCTCCCACGAACTCAAGGATTCGGCTTCATAGAGGAAGGGCAGGATGCGCGTAAGGACTCGTATGCAGTTGAGGGCGTCTCGCTCCGGAGCGATCTCGGGATCGGGGAAAGAAGGATGGTGCCGCAGGATGAAAAGTCGAGATGTCGCGACGAGGATCAACGTTTCGAGGTTCTCCAGAGCATTATCTCGTGTTCGTCGAATGTCGGCGGGGGAGAAGAGGCTGAAGACATCCTCGGCGGTTTCTGGCAGCTCCCAGAACTAGTCAAGAAGTCAGCACGGCTCAGGGCGTGAGGGCGCTTCCACGGGCACCCACTGAAGTCCAGTACGGGTCGTCCGCGGGTATGTGTCGTTCTTCAGAGAGCCTAAAGATGCCTTTCTTGAAGACGAGCTTCGAATCGCTGGCGCCCATGTTGTCGAGTCGTTATCATGACAACCGGGTCAAACCCAGCGTCTTCTTTGATGGTGCTCGTACAGAAAAGTTGGAGCGGGCTGGAAGTTGAGCTGGCGGGTCGTGGTTTGGCGGGCGGGTGGAATCTAGACCAAGGCCTTATCAGTGAGGTACGGTGTTGTTTGGTGTAGTGGATGACCTGGAGGTCGCATGGGCATCCGTCCCCAGATGGAGCTTGCTTGGACCGCGGGGGTTACGTAAGGTTGTGCCTCAACCCGCTCGTGGTTCCTCTTGCCCAGTTAGTAAGCAAGCGATACTCAACTGCTGAGCCTCAGACCTGCCCAGCATTATTTGTTTTCCATTATGGGTAGCCTATGGAATGTCCCGATGGGCTTCATGGTTCGAGTTCTGGATCGCCCGAAGTGATGACCTATTCACGAGGTTTCACTTGGGACGGAACTCACGAAGTCCACCATCGCGCTTTCTGAGCTAAAATTTTACATGTTATGGACCCTCATGAGTGGGACATTGGGCAGCACACCATCAAAGCTCCGAGTCGTCTCGGCTCTTGGAGGACATCCAGGGGCCTTATAATAAAGCTGGCCGCAGATTCTTCGTAGACTCCGAATTGACATTTCTGCCTCTGGTCATTTTTCTCTTTTCCTTCGCCATGTCTTTTCTGCGTAGCCGTGGGCTGCGGACCACTCTCGTTTCGCTCGCGTTGACCACATCAGGGAGCGCTGGCGCGTGCTTTGTTGGTCTTCAGCAATGGACCAAGCCGACATACTTTGAGGCGTTTGACTTTAAGCCCCACCCTGTGCTGCATCACCCGAGCCTGGAGCCCCTGCGTCTCGCGCAAAGGCCCCAGTTCGGCGACTGTTGTGTCCGTGAGGTTGCTTTCCAGGACATCGAGCCCGGATTGCTGCAAGACGGGCTCTCGGGGGGGACAGCCTTGTTAGAGCAGTTCGCTGGGGGAGTGTTTGGTGGATACGGTATGAATCGGTTGCGCGTTCAATTTGGGAGAAGAAACAACTGGCGAGAGATGGATAACAATGGCTTACTGAGATCCCAGCGTTTCGTATTCAGCGTAATCTTATGAAGAAGTTCCGCAAAAGCGATGCGAACTCGACCGACTTGTGGGAGGAAGAGCAAATCAGCCACAGCGATTTCAAGATCGGTAAGGGACAGCCTCAACCACGCATCTTCCCCATCTCAGTATTTCTGATGTTGCGAAACCAGGCACCATTATCGCCGATGATTTCATTGTACGAGACAAATCTCCAACCTCGATCATGTTACAAGGAGGGACATCACCCCGATATTCGCCAGATGAGCCTCACGAAATGGACACCATCGTCACCCTGCGAGTCAACCTGAACCGAGAACGACAATTGGCGGAGTTCAGGCTCGAATGTATCGTGGCGGCCAACGGCATCACGACAGACGACCGTCCAGCACTGGGCACGGTTGAGATTTTCTTGCACCAATGCTACTCAAAACTACTGCTGACGGCAGGTTCAGACTCTTGCATTTCATAGAGCCGCCAGAGTTTCCGAGTTATTCCGTAACTTTGTCCCCATATGTAACCATAGAGGTAGATACCAGATAGAAGGCACTGTCGCGCATTTATAGCACGAGGCTCAGGCCTGACAAACCAGTGTCCTTAGGGTGACTCCACTTCACGTTGCAACACCTTACGGAGTAGCACATTCATAGTCATTCGCCCCACAGCAGCATCGTACCAGACATGATTTCAGAATACTTACATATCTATTACACTGTGTTCCCGGCTCATGGCCGACCGCTTTGACGTCGCGGCTGGCGCATGAACCACCAATCATTATATACCTAAAGCAGTGACAGCGTGCCCTTCGTCAAGCCAAGTTCATCACCGTCTGTCGTTTATCATCCTGAAGCAACGTTTCCCTTTCCTCGCGCCGGTCACCTAAGCGACGTCGAGGACCGCCTTCCTCGCTCGTACAGCCACTTGTTGTTGAGTCCGACACTTGTGCGCTTGCTTGTCGACGGGCTGGGCGACGTGGGGTCAGCGAAGAGGCCAGAGGAGCCGCTGGAAGGCAGAGGGCTAGGAGACCCGAAAGAGGAGCGGCGGTTCTCGTTCAGCCCACCGGCGAACTTGGAAGGGCTGCTGGCCGGCGAGAAAGACGAGCCGTTGAGGTTGCCTCCGAAGGCAGGGCTGCCACGTCCGGACAGCGGCGAGCTCGCATAGCTGCGGTTGCTCGCTGGCGAACCTGCAAGTGACGGGGTCCTCGAGTAGCGCGGCGGCGTGCTGAAGACGGCGTCAGGCGTGGCGACCTTCGGTCCGGGGGGCAGTCCGAGGAGCTGGCGCTGGGCGGCGGAGAGGGGGATATCGCTGAGGTCGTCGGTCGTGCGGAACAGTGGAAGCAAGGCGGTGACGGAGTTGGCGATCGGAATGGTCTTCAGGACCAAGTAGGCCCATCCGAGGATCGACCTCGTCGACTCTGAAACTCTGCAGATGGGTTAGTATGCGGACGGCTTGGGTTCTTGGCGGAACACGTACAGCTTGTGGCTGATGTAGCGCTGGACCAAGGCCTGGGCTACCCAGAGAGCAACGAAGAAAGCCACATTCTGAGCGACTTTTCTGACGTTCTTCTCCGAGAATGTTGTCGCGTTGCGCCGCCTGGAGATCTCGTCAATCCGTGGGTGTCTCCAGGTGCCGGGACTGTCGACGACGGGCGCAGCGCTTTGAACCTGGGGTGTTGACTTGGCGGGGGTTCTGGTAGCCACCCTGCTCATCATGGGCGTTGACATTGTTTCTGAGGTTTTGGATTGGACGTCGTGTGGGCGGGCGAGAGATCGATCAATGGGCAGGTGAGGCGGGTGAGGAAAGGCCTGTCTGAAGGTTAGTCGAGTTTCTAGCCACGACTGCCAAAATAGGCGGTGGAACTGACAATGTCGGGGCTGTTGTTGGAATAGAAAGTGTGGCGGACCTATTGGGTTAGTAAATCTTCAGCCTGGCGGCCGAGCTCGTCGCGGCGCTGCTCCGGATTTCCCTGTGTCGAGATGCGATGTTGGGCGGGAAGTTTTGTTGACGTTGGTGATGAGGTTGGGGGTTGCGCTGCGAAAACAATCCCCCAGTTACGCTTCCGGAGCGGGAGCCCAGCACGGACGAGCAGCTTGCAGGGGTGGTGTGGTGCGGTTTAGGTACCTACCTAGGTGCCTAGGTACCGATTGCAAGGGCTCTAAGGGGATACCTAGGTACCTACCTACTAGGTACCTAGGTGAGCAAGTGATGTGAGCACCTACAGACTGGAGGCGCACGTGCAGGCGGCGGTAGTGCGGGGCCTTATTGCCCGTCTGCCACGTCTGACTGGGTGAACAGTGGCATCAGCCACAGACAGCTCCGACGGCGGGAGGGAGGGAGCTGGCGTCCACAGCCCACCTCCAAATGTAACGGTACATCACCCGATTCCCGACGCCCACCACCTCCCCGACATACAAAGCCCCAGTTGCCCCTCGTCAACTGGAATGACTATTGACGCAGGTCCGTCCCGCAGCTGCTAGGAACACGAAGCAGTTACTTGAGACAGCCGTGTCTTACCTTGGTTTTGTCCTCGACCTCTACTTCCATCTTGGCTTCGAGCCCGACTCTTCCACAGAACCGCCCAGAGGGCACACGACCCAAGTCTCTCTCTCCCTCTCTCTTGCTCGCCATGGGCACCATCGACAACCTTCTGGTCAGCCTCGACCAGGGCGTCACAGGCCTATTTGGACAATGGAATGGCTACACAACCGCCATGGTGACCTTCCTGGTCATCACTGTCTCCTACCGTATTGCTGCCAGCCAGGAGCCCGACACGCATCCAATGTTACTTGCCCGCCAGGCGCAAGGCTCTCCTGTTCGACAAGAGGGCGAGTCTCCCGTCTACCGATCCCACGCCTCACCGCACGGCATGCCTCTCAATAGTGGACTGAACGTCAAGGATTCTGGGGCCTCGAAGTGGTCCAGAGGAAGAGACGGTGATCTCCGCGACATTTGGAGGAGGGCCGCTGGCGGCACGCCCGACGAAGATGGCAAGCCCGCCTCGGGCAAGGGCCGCCTTCTCACGGTTCATGGTGCCCGTCAAGTTGTCGAGGCTGATATCGGTTCGTTGCAGCTTTCCTCATCATTGCAGTGTCTAGGCTAATCCCGCGGTCGTAGACGATGTGACGCGCCAGATCAACCTCATCGGCCAGCACATCCACGAGCAGGGTGGAATCCGAGTGGCCATCTACCTCCCCAACTCGATCGAGCTGATTGCTGCGCTCTTTGCCTGCAGCTTCTACTCCAACCTGACCGCCATCCTCATCCCCTTCGACGTCTCCGACGAAGAGCTCATCTCCATGCTGCGCCGCTCCGCCGCCGACACCGTCGTCACCGCTCCCGGCGCCTTCCCCTTCGATGCTGTGGTCAAGGCCTACCCATCACTGCGCCAGCTGATCTGGGTTGTCGACGAGGGCAGCAAGCACATGGACTGGAACGAGGTACCCGAGGGCATGGGAGGGTCCGTCAACGTCGCAACGTGGCAGGAAATTGCTCAGGAAGCCCCGGCCGCCGCAGGCCTCGAACTACCGCCCGTGGCTGGGCAGCACGAGCCGGCAGACATCATCACCTTCTGGCAGTCGAGGCCCGGCATCATGGAGGAGATGGTGCGATTCTCGCAAGCCAACCTGATCGCCGGCATCGCCGCTCAGCTCGCGGCGCTCCCCGTCTCTCAGCGTCTGGGCCCCTCCGACCTCTTCCTCCCCGTCGACTCCCTGACGAACACGTACACTCTTGTCCTGACCCTGGCCGCCCTCTTCTCCAACGCTTCTATTGCCTTTAGCTCGGTCGCCGGCAAGTCAGCCGAGCTCATCCTCTCAACGCAAGGCATCGCGCCGACGGTCATTGTCGCCTCGCCGGAGACGCTGCTCAAGACCCACCACGAGACCACGAGCAAGCTCACGTCGGCCCTGGCCAGGCTGTCCTACTGGCTCAAGTCGCGCAGCCTCGTGGACTACGGCATCATGCCCGTCGCATCGGTCGCCACCAGCTTTGGCGACGCCTACCTCCCCGCCATTGGCACCACGCCCGGCAAGCTCCGCGTCGTGTACACGGCCGAGAGGGTCGGCGCGCATTCTGTGCCGCTGTCCCCTCGCGAGCTCTCGGATCTTCGCGTCTTCCTCGGTGCGCGCGTCATCTACGCGCTGACGGCCTCCAAGGTCGCCGGCGCCGTCACCCAGACAGGGTACTATGATTACAGGGTGCACGGCCAGGACAGCAAGCGCTCTCACTTTGGCCCGCCCGTCACGAGCACCGAGATTCTCCTCCGCGATACGGCGGATCTCAGGACGACGGACGAGGTGTCGCAGGGACAGGTCAGTTTGCTCTTCACATCATCCTTCGCCGGTTTCTCTTACTGACCTTTTCCAGATCATCGTTCGGGGCCCCTCGGTGGCTGGGGGTGAAGCCGCGCTCGGCGTGTCTGGCAGGATGAGCGATGACAACACGGTGTCTTATGTTTAAGGCGAACATTTACAAAGCCACAATGATCGGTCTTGGACGGTCAGGGTGCAGGTTCACTTGCTTTTCAGCCCTGCCCTCGTAAACAATTCTCATGTAGTCCTGATGGGGTGTTTGCCAGCCCGGACGTTTCAATGATATAATGAACATGCAGGCTTCGCTTGATTTTTTTTTTTTAAAAAATGAAAATCCAATCCATGTAGCCAACGGCCGTGGCCCACGCGAGAGTCTTCAACTGCGCCCAAGACCCTGCAGCAGCCTGCCTGACAGACCTTACCCTCTCTTGCACGTTTGGCCTGCAAACAATTCATCGCCTCTCCAGCGTCGCGTGCAACGTGTGCTGCCGCATGAGCGAGATGCAAATCAGCGCCAGGATCGAGAGTCCCAGCATGGTGAGCCATACACCGCGGAAGGCGCCCATGAAAGATTCGACGACGCCTTGTTTCCAGCCGGGTGGCAGCCGGTGCAGCTCGTCGAGATCATCCCGGATGCGGGCGATGATCTCGGCGGCGTGGGGGTAGTCACCGAAGCGGGCCCAGAGGTTGGCCTTGAGGATGTTCTGGTAGACGGCGGAACCGACCGTGACGCCAATGGTGCCGCCGCAGCTGCGAGCCAGGTCTGTGGTTCATCGTCAGTGACTGTGCATAACAGAGAAGGGCGTCCGGGGGAACGAGAATCAAAGGGAGCAATCTTGCGAGACGTACATGTGGCGGACGTGATGACGGCTTGCTGGGAGTGGTCGACGGCTGCAATGCAGGCGAGGAGCGTAATGGTCAGCATGCCGCCGTAGCCGCCGCCGGCCATGAAGAAGACGACGCCGCCGGTCCACGTGGGCGTCTTTTCGTCGAACGAGCAGAGGACGGCAACGGCGATGGTGAGGAGAGTCAGGACGGCGGTGCCGAGAAGAAGGTAGCGGCCCGTCTTCTTCATGAGGTAGCCGCAGCCGAGGGAGAAGACGGAAATGCCCAGCGGAGAGGGTAGGAGGCGGAGGCCGGCGTCGGTGGCGGAGAGGCCGATGACCTGGAGGTAGAGGGGCACGTAAAAGAGGGCCATCATGATGACCATTGTGCTGAGAAAGTTGCAGAGGCAGGCCGCGATGACGGTGCGGTGCATGAGGAGCTTGACAGGGATGATGGGTTGTTTGGCTCTGCTCTCCCAGATGATGAAGGCGACAAAGGCGACGACGGAGAGGGGAATGGTCGTCAGGGGCAGGGGGTGCAGCCAGGGCACGATGTTGCCTCCGGCGTTGAGGCCGAGCAGCAGGAGCACGAGGAACGAGATGGTTAGGAAGGCGCCGACAAAGTCGATGCGAGCGAGGTACGACTTGTCGGACGCCTTGGGAGGCACGCGCACGAGCACGGCGACGATGATGGCGGAGACAATGACAGGCGGGACCTGGATCAGGAAGGCCAGCCTCCAGCCCCAGGCCGTGTGGTCATTGATGAGACCGCCAAAGACACCGCCCAGCATGGCACCGCCGCCGTACGCGATGTTACCGACGCCCTGGATGATGCCACGTTTGCGCAGAGGAACGAGATCAGAGGCCAGGAAGGTTGAGATGGACATGAGGCCGCCGCCACCAATGCCAGCAATGACTCGGCCGAAGATCATGACGTGCTGGTCCTGGGCAAGCCCGCAGATGAGGTTTCCGGCAGCGAAGAAGACATTGCTAAAGATGAGGCCTGGTCCACGGCCGAAGATATCCGTCAGACGACCCGATAGAGGCTGGCAGGCAGCATTGGAGATGAGGTAGGCTGTGGCGAGCCATGATAACAGACTCAAGGACTTGAACTCGCTGGAGATGGGGGCAGACAAGGTAGCGATGATGGTGGAATCAATGGCACCGAGAAACACTCCCAGGTAAGCGGCGCCGAGAATTAGAGTCAGCCGTGTGGGAGAGACGCCGTCAGCAATGACGGTTGTCTCGCGATCCTGGTCCGGTAGTTCTGGCTCGGGAATGGAGTCGGTCTCTGAGGGTCCGAAGCCAGTAGGCCGTCGTCTGGGCTCGTTGAGCAGAGGGGTCGTTTCGGAGCTCTCATTGGGTTGGGCCGCCGAGGGCCTGGTGTCGTCAGCCATGGTGGTGTTGGCGTATGTAAGACCTTTGATGTCAACCGAGGCCGTGAGGATCTAGGTCCCTCTATGATTGGAGCTGGGAGCAGGCGAGAGAGAGCGAGAGCGAGCGAGAGAGAGAGGTGCTGCGAAGATATCGCGGTTAGTTGCGGATCTTACCCATGACGCCTTCCTGCGCCTGGCCTTAGGTAAGGCACCTGAGGGAAGGAGAGATGGAGCAAGAGGAAGGAGGGGGGCCGATGACGGCATCTTGAGGTAGCTTACCTAAGACATTTTCTCAATGGATTCCGTGGCTCGCACCTTCGGTACCCACGCCTGCGCCCTGCAATGACATGGCTTTGACATCCATGGCAACCTTGATGGCCCGAAACCGGGAGCCGATGAATTCCACGACCTACCTGCCCAGTGACTGACTCCCTTCTCCCTCCGCTGAAGTTTCTTCTTTATCCTCTACATCCGTCTTTTTCCATGCAAGCGCGTCGATTCACCAGCCCTTCGTCGTCGGGCCTTCGTCAACGATCAGGATCAGGACCTATGATCATGATTCGACCAACCAACGGCGGACATACCTAGCCCCGCCCGATTTGGCCTCCAAGGATGGAATCCCTGCAGGTCGGGCAACCTCCGATGTTCGCAGGCGTAGAGAGAGAGTGTAGGAACCTCAAGTGAAGGCTGGAAAACTCGACCGCCGCCGTTCGGTGACCTAGAGCATACAATGCCGGTGCATCATGCCTCTCATCAACCGGAGTTGCAACCTGTCTGGAATTTGTGACAAAGATGAATCACACCGACCGCAATGGCACCGGACATGAACAAGAAGTGGGGGGTAATTGAGGCCAAATTCAGGTGGAACACAGCCAACGACTGAGGACTCAACGAAACAGACCATCAACCGATGAGGCCGCTGCGCACCTCTGATCAAATCGGCCACTAACATGTAGGCCTCAGTGGGATCATTGTTGGATATAACAGAGGCGTCTCTCCGTCCTTCAACCACCTCATGCTATAGCATCAACACATACTCACTTCACAAGTATCCAGGGCATCGACAGACTGAATCGCCTTACTCACCCTCTTTTCTCTTCCACTCTCTAACCTTGTACCATTCACTACAATGGCGTCTTCGGAGATCCTGTCGCAAACCCTCTACTCCATCACCACCATCAAGCTCGACCAACTTGACAAGCAGAAGAACGAGTATGAATCGGCAAAGCGCGCCCTCCTCGACCGTGCCAGCGACGAGCCGGAGCCTAAGCGCCGCGCCCTCCTTCTCGCCGAAGGCCTCGAGAAACTGCCATCCATGACTCCTGTCGCCGACAGCTCCACAATCTCACTCGAAAATCTGAAGCGTTTCATCTTGCAGGCCAAGCATGACCCCTCGGTCTCCCAAGACTTCATCAACGACTACGAGCAGTCTCTGAGAAACGAGCTCAATGTCCAGTCAGAGAAGTATCGCTTCGCCGAGCTGTATGGGAAGCTTGTGAACGAATGGATTTCGGCGGGAAAGGTCGACAGTACCTCCGACTCCGACACAGCATCCAACGCAGGTTCCGACGCCGTCTCCAGCTCAGGGTTCCTGCCCGTCGGTCGCGCAGAGTCGCACGAGCAGCGTGCAACGTGGGAGGAGTATGTTTTCACAGCCAAAGACACGGACACGCGCGCCGCCAAGTCTTATCTCGAGGACCTCTTCCGATCATCGTCGAAAGACGTCGAGGAGGCCTTCAAAAGGTTTACTGATGAACTGGAGGACTTTCAGAAGCGTTGGGACAAGCGGACGCATTTTGATGAGCAGGTCTTGACGAACTGTATCAGTGGTCTCCTGAGAACGGATATCCTGACAGACCAGAAGAAGGCGACCTTGAACGACTTTCTCAACAACAAGATCGTCCTCCGTGAGATCGCCGACGTGCTCAACATGCGCATGCAGACACGCAAGTCCTGGTTGTGGGACTCGGTGTGCACCATCACCCCTCGCCGCCAGCTGAACGGCCGCTACCGCTTCTACCCGGATGAGGATCTGCTTCAAACGCTGTTTCTCTACTACATCGGGAGGAGCTGGGGTGTGCGGATACGATCCGCCTTCTCAGCCTTCCTGGTCGCCCCCGGTGTACCAAAGACGACGGTGCCGCGAATGGACAAAGAAGATGCCCGCCGGCGGATGTTCTTCCTCAACACGCCTAGGTATCAGAGTGCTGACGGCAGCGTATACCAAAACTTGGATGATCATTACCAAGCCGAGGTATTGCTCGACCAGTTGCCAGTGACCATGGACGAGCAGCGGGGTGGATACAACCAAGGGGAAGCAGCCGCAAACGACAGCAGGAAGTCTCACATCAAGGTGGTTCAGAACCTTTTGCATATTCTGCAAGCGAGCATCATCATGAAGACTAGACTCGGTCAGGATATCACCGTCATTCGATCCGACTTCAAGTGGTTCGGACCCAGCGTTCCGCACTCGTCCATCTACGCGGTGCTCGAGTTCTTTGGTGTTGACGCCGACTGGATCGCGTTCTTTCGGAAAGCCCTGGAGTGTCCCTTGCGATTCGAAGAGGACCCTTGCGACGCCCAACCGCAGCTACGGAAGAGAGGCACACCGCTCAGCACGCCAATTGCCGACTTCTTTGCCGAATCGATGCTGTTCTGTCTCGATTTCGCCGTGAACCAAAAGGCAGACGGTGCGCGACTCTACCGGCTGCATGACGACATGTGGCTCTGGGGATCCGAACAGAGGTGCGTCGCCGCCTGGAGCGCCATCACCGAGTTTACCGATCTCATGGGACTGGCGATCAACGAGGAAAAGACGGGCAGCGCCATCATCCGGCCGAAGTGGAAAGTCCCGACACCTCCAGGAATCACGAAGGGACTGCCAAAGGGGAACGTGGTCTGGGGGTTCCTCAAGCTGGATGCAGCGAGCGGACGGTTCCTGCTGGACCAGGACAAGGTGTCGACGCACATTGACGAGTTGCGGCTGCAACTGGACGCGTGCAAAAGCGTCTTCGACTGGATCCAAGCGTGGAACATCTACGGGTCACGGTTCTTCAGCACCAACTTTGGTAGCCTGGCCAATTGCTATTCACGGGCGCACGTCGACAGCATCCTCCAGACCTTTCAACGAATCCAGGAATCGCTCTTCCCCGGGGTCAGCGGCGGTGTTGGGGCGCGGCTCAAGCAGATGATCGCCGAGCGATTCGGGGTGCAGGATGTGCCGGACGGGTACCTGTACTTCCCCCTGTCGCTAGGAGGGCTGGGCCTGCAGAATCCGTTTGTGCCCATGTTTCTGCTGCGGGAGTCGGTGCTCGAGGATCCGGGCAAGGTCATGGACGACTACATGACGGAAGAGGCGGCGCGGTACCGGGCAGCGCGAGCGGCATTCGAGTCGCCATACGACGACCTCGACGGGACCAACTGGACGAACCGGACAGTTGAGGATCTGAAGCGCGACTACCCAGACCTCATAAACGAGCGATTCTTCAGCTACGACGAGTACACGCGATACCAGGAGAGGACGTCACGGGCGCTGGGCAGGGCGTTTGACGAGATGCGCAGGGAGCCTGAACCCGAGCCGCTGCGGGAGATGGAGGATGGCGTGTGCTCGGGGCCGGCATGGCAGAAGCTGTCGGCGCAGGAGCGATGGGTGTGCCGGCAGCACGCAAAGGACATGGTGTCACGGTTCGGGGGCCTGGCCGTGGTCGAGCAGGGTCTGCTGCCGATGGGCATGATGGGCATGCTGAGGCAGAGCCGGTTCAAGTGGCAAGGGTGAGCCGGGCAATGTGCAGGAGGGGCTGGACGGTTGAAGAGGTTCGCAGAAGAAGGACGAGAAGACGAAGAAGGGGTCAAAAGAAGGAGGGGGGGGCATAGCCAAGGGCGAACCGCCGGGGAAGGGAAACGATAGCGATGCTCGCCAAAGGGTGCCTTCATTTAATCATCACCGTCATTGCCGTCATCACGGCTCGTTCTCGCCTCTCGTCCCGTCCGTCTCCTTGCGCCAGCATACTCAGTACAGTTGATGAGGCAGCTCGACGAAAAGTCACGCCACTTGCAGCCCGTCTTCTGCCTCGCTCATGATGATGTTCCCACTTCCTTCCCATTCAAGCCTGACCTCCCACGCCCTCCCCTTGTCCCAGTCCGTCAGTGTGCCTCTGAACACGAGAATGACGGTCACGTAAAGAAAACTGTAGACAGCCACCCGACTTGACCTCACCTTGACTTGGATCACCTCACGCAACCCCCACTCGCCAACCCATCCCACTCTCAAGTCCGCCTACCCCACCCCCCTTTCTGCTTCTCTTGACCCCCCGTCCCTCCTGCGGGCGTCGTGACGTGCTCCGGTGCAACCAACACAGCGAACACTCCGGAGGAACCACCTGTGCCCCGGTACCTGCATCTCGCAGCCTGCCTCGCCTCAACCCTCGCCAGGGCAACACAATGGCTGGGTCAGGCCTGGCCTGGTCTGGCAGAGAGGCCCAGTTGGCCGAAGGCAGAAAAGAAGGTGAGCGTTCCTTCCAAGGTGGGGAAACCGTCCACTCGCCGTCCTTTCGAACCCCCCGTCAAGCACGCCTTGTCAGCACCGCCGGAGCCGAAGTCCTCGTCGAGAAGCGCACTGGTTCTGCAGGCGCCGCATCCCGCCTCCTCCCTTCAACTCCGCCCTCCCCCCAAACCCCCCTGTCCGAGAGAGGTACTTGGTACAATACTCTCACCTACAGGCTACAGGTTCCATGCTACAGGTCTGCGCAGAGGTCACAGGCTGAAAAGCCCTGCCGCGGTAGCGTTTGATGGCTTTCTCGACCACCACCCCTGCCCTGCCGGGAAAGCGCCATCATCGGAAATGGAAGCGCCCAATCTGCCCTGTATCGCAGCTTGTCGTCCTTCTAGAACGTCCACCCTCAGCCCCCTGTCCTAGGCACCCTACCCTGCCAGCTGTCTTTCCTCCTCCCCCCCCGACCTCCCGAGGAAGTTCGTTATCACCACTGTGGGGCGGTCAGCGGCGAGCGTTGCCGGGCGCTACCTTGGCGCAGGACCACGGCAGAACGAACAGGAACGAAACGGAAAGGCAGGAATCACGATCGCAGTCCAGGGGACCAGGGTAGGTGGTTTCTTTCGGTCTCGGTCCCTTTTGTCTTTCGCTCGAACCTGCCGTTTATTTCCCCTGTGCTCTAGCACATACTCTCGCTCTCTCTCTCTCTCTGAGGACTTACCTACATGTATCATATTGTGTATGCCTCCTTTGTTGCGGGGGATCCGGGCGCCGCCGAGCAACTTCTGGGGTCTGACCGGGAATAGGGTCCCTGGAGGGTTAGGGGGCAGGGGACCGTTTGGGGCAAAGGCGGTGGAACTCGCCGAGGCTTTTGGTGACATCAACTGGGAAACAGGCAGCTTCGGGAGATATTCGGGCGCTGCACTTTACCCCGACGCAACCTCGGGGGAGGGGGGGTCGGCTCTGCGCTGTGCAAGCTGTTCCCTGGCAGCTCAGCCAGCCTTGTTCATAGGAGAATTCCGATATGGGGGACGGGGGGGGTCAGTCGCATAGAACCGAGGCTTTTGTTGCTGGGCTTTTTTATTTGCTGTTTTGGCCCTTCTCTTGGAATAAGTACGACCTCGCGCCAAGCAAATTTTCACATGCGTGCGGCGATTCGTACCGCCCGGCGCACGGGAAATCTGGCGGACGCCGTCATCTGTCCACGAATTGGATGAGTACGGGGCGTCGATGAATGGGGTACGGGGCGGTGCCACGGAGATGGCGACACGGAGATGTCCAGCGTGGACCGTGGAGTGCATACAGGGGAAATCAAACCACGGCATGATGAAGTGGGAAGAAAAAAAATGTGTTCTTTGCAACATTTGAGTCGGGATGGCATCATTGCGAGCAATACGAGCTTTTTTTGCCTTTCTGTCACATTCCCATTTCGTACTCTGCAGGTTTGCAAAAGACAAGGTATCACGGGTAGCCATGGAGGGCAAGAATTTGTTGTGATGATGGTACATGTTTTTTTTTCGCACGGCTGTAACCGTGTTTCGTTCGTCAAATAGGGTTAGGTATGACGGGAGTAGCTAGAATGCCTTGACTTTTTGTTCGTGTGTTTCCCCTTTTCCCCCTTGGGCTCAAGTGGCCCATCTCGAGTCACCCGCTCGCTGGTTATTGCCCCGTTCGCTGATCGCTGTAATACCACTTTCATAGTCGTCAAGTTCCAAAATAGATCGGATAACAGGAAAAGAAAAAAAAAGACATCCACTCGCGCGTATGCTGACTCGCGAGCTGTCTCGGTCTCGCCGTGATGATCCGGCTCATGTCGAGCAAGTGCCGATCGAAGATCCCCACCACATCCATCCAGACATTATTGTCTCAGAACATGATCCACTCAACCTCAACGCCAGGTCCGCCGATGCATCGCGTCCAGTTGAAGGGGCCGCGGCGCATCGCCTCAACCCGCGCGGCGCCAGGGCTGCGTGCCTCGAGCCCCTCCTTCCAGTCACCGGCCCACAGGCGCTCGAGCACATCGAGTGCTGCGAGGTTGTTCATGTAGCCCGATCGTGTCATAATATCTCGGCACTTGCTGCGTACAATGTTCTGCTGCAGCTCATTGACGCACTCGCTGCCCGCGACAAAGAGAGGCCAGCCGCACGAAACTTCTCTGCAGAGGAACCTGCCTAGAGAGACGAATGCGTAGTATACCACCTGCGAGACCAGGTTCTGGAAGTTGCTGTGGTTCGACGGCACATTGGGCGACGCAAGACGCTCCGTGTACAGGAGAGCCGCGTAGCGGAACGCCTCGGAGAGGGAGCCAAGGTCGCGGATCTGCGAGGGTGTCGCCGGCGAGGGCAGCGAGGCCTGGATGCGGGAGGCGTCGAATTCCCACGACTGCAGCGCGAGGCGCGCCTCCTTCCACTCGCACCAGAACGTATTGCGCTGTTCGTCGTACGAGGCAGACGAACAGACGGCCGAGTTGAAAAGTTCTTCATCATCCAGCGTGTGCCAAAGCCGTTGCCATCGAAAGCGGTGACCGCCACCGAGGCCGTACATGTCGCCAAGCTGCTGCTGATGGAGGTTGCCGATGCTGCCCTTGTAAGCATGGCCCAGGGGCGAGCCGAGCGGGGACTGCGAGCGCGACGGCACGTTGCGCGGCAATGTGCTGCTCGAGGTATTCTGAACGGGACGGTGTTGTGAGAGGAGGTTGAGACGCCCAAGCTTGCTGATAGTCTTGAAGAGCTCACGATCGCAGCCCACGAGGTTCTCGGCGCCTGGCGGCAGGAGAGGGGCGTCGGGTGCAACACCAAAGAAGCCGGTGAGTTGCGCTTCGCGGTCGTTGATGCTGGCCGAGATGGCATCAAAGTAGGTGAAGATGGCCTCCATCCAGGCCGAGTCGCGCGACGGCGCGTACTGTTGCGACCTGCGGCGGATGGCAAGGATCTTCTTGACGCCTGCGAATTGAGTGTGGAATTTGGCAATGCCCGATTCCACCATACGGTAGTGGCACAGCAGGAGAATTGTGGCAAGGACCGAGTCGTGGCTGGACTTGACGGGGTCATTGAGCTGCTGGTTCAGGAGATGCACTGCCAGATTGCGGTGCTGGTATTCTTCGGAAAGAGACTGGTCCTCCGGCTGGGCATCGGTCATGCCGTCGGCCGCAGACTTTTCAGCCATCAGCTTCTCAGACAGCTCGCGCGTATCCTGTCCCAGGCTGAGCCGCCTCTTCATGCGGAGGTTGCACGCCGAAAGGGCGCAGATGGCGTGTTGCAGGCTTTGGCTAGCTTGAGCCAACTGAAGAATGTGATCCCTATATGGGTTGCTGGGACCGTCGATGAAGACCATGGACTGGCACATGGTGTTCTTGTAGTAATCCATGAAGAAGGGCATCTTCGCAATGAGCTCTGAGCTCACGTGGATCGGCTGCGGCTCCATCACCGTAGGCCAGTGAGCAGAAGTAGGCTCGGTCTGGCGTGGCGACATCTCCTCGGGGGGAGGTGAAGGCCATATTGAGCCGGTGGAGGTGCAGCTGGTGCCGTAGGCATCCATCTCAGGGACGTCTTTGAGTATGAAGTCAGTATGGAAATCGTCTAGGGGCAAATAGATTAGGATGGGTGGGAAGGCTCACTCAGACCGTCGCAGTCGCGCATCAGCTTCTGGCTCATCTGGGCCTCAAAGTTGTCCATATGGGACGTGAGACTTGAACTCTGCTCAGAGCGGCGTAAACGAGACCTGGACAGGACGTTGGCGCAGCCCTCTGGTCCATGAGGATGCCTGA